CCCCAAAACCCCAAAACCCCAAAACCCCAAAACCCCAAAACCCCTGGTCTTCACAAAATAATTGAATAAAAATGTCAAGTATTGCTCATAGCTTCCCAGATAAGGTAAGCAAAGAATGTTTAGAAGATTTCTCTACTAGTTAGTAAACTTTAAAATTATTTAAATTATATTAGAAGCCAGAGCCAAGCATAGAGGATTATTCTGTTAAAATGCCCCAGATCAATACCCAGCCAGTTAACTTTTGATTCTCGTACGATATGCAAAAGTCAGGCGACCACTCCACTTCTACCTCAAAGATTTCCCATCCCTCACCACAGAAAGGTATTTCTGTAGCTAAGTTTTAGGTAAAGTTCGAAAAGTGAACAAAAACATGATTAAATTTAAAAAGAGGAAGAAGTTAGCTACTATATTTATATAATAGAAATAAAACTCATCTCTCTAACCCAATGCACCTTAAAGAGGACTTTCAAAGTATCACCACAGATGAAGAGCTGCCAAAGATGCAAAGAGTAGAGAAAGAGTTCACTTCAGCATCCAAGAAGAAGGTAGGACACTGACTATAACTATATAGCCCAAAAAGCAGCGGGTGGAGAACTTATCTGCTCTTTCTGTATCTGCTAACAACATCACACCTACTGTTGAAAAGTAAGCTCTTTAGAAATTTGTGTTATTTCAGCCATTCTGTTGGTATAAATACAGTCTATAGTTCAGGCCTTATCCCCGAACTTATTCATAAGAGGGCCTAAAATGTTTGATATTCCTTGGAAAAACGTTGGAGAATACATCTATGGGTACCCACGGAACATCCGCATCCAGAGAGAGAAGCAAAATGCCAAAGTCCAGCGCATCAGGGATCAAATTGAAAGACTTGGCAAATCAGATATTATCGATGAAGCTCCATCTTTGTAAGAATGTATGGACCTTTTAAAGATTTTAACATTTCTTTAGTGACTCAAACCAGGAAAGGAGGAGGAAGAAGATGAGTGAGGATTTTGAGAAAGCTCCATTTGCCAATCTCAAGCTTAAAAGCAATCCTACTACAATGAAAAGTATGCTAAGAATACCTTGTAGAGTCAGTTTAGGTGGTATTAGGCCACTTAGAAAATTTGTAGAAATAATCCTGATGTATAGAGCTCCTAGCAGAGAAAATGAAGTGCCTTAAAAATGAAGCTAAAGGGCTCTTGAGGCTCTCAGATTGGTCTGATATATACAGTAAAGCTCTTTCTCATAATATTATAGCTAACCAATTCTCTACAGCAACGATTTCTGATCAACGAGGAGTAGGTTTTGTTATATAATGACCTAGAGAGGTAATTCAAAGAAAACTGTAACTTCAAATGTCTCAAAATCCCTAAAATCGTCACCATCAAAGTTTAGTAAGAAAATATCATTCACAGACCAGGTAATGTCATATTAATAGTTTTAGAGTGTCCATATTAGATCCAGAGCTCCCTCTAGTGATTTGGTTAAACAGTCTCTAAACTTTGATGAAAAAAGTCCACTCAAAACTAATAGAAGTATTTCCTTACTGAAGATGTTCAACACCAGCATCAGAAATATCAAGAGAAAGAACAAGAATACCTTCAATATGTCTAGCACTCATGATCTTGCACAAAGAGAGAAACTGCTAGAGTACTCTAAGCTGAGAAAACTAGTCGAAGTTATGGTATCGAAACGTGTTTTTGCTCTGAAAGAAGCAAAGAAGACCTTCAAATCTCTCCCAAAATCAAATAAAAGTACAGAAAATTTATTAGGAGTCCGAGCAGAGTTGAATTGTCTTGAAACAGTTCTGGAACACATCCGCAATAAGTCACTCCATCTCATAAACTTCCAAGAACTTGAAATATACAAGAATTTAGAGAGCGAAGAAATTCATGAATCTCTAATAAAACTCTACAAATTTAATAAAAAGCACATTCTTCACCCAATGCCAAAGCCATTGGGCTCAATAAACGACCTGATTAACGAAAACAATTCTACTAAACCAAGCGATATAACTTTGAAATTGATTCTCAAGAGCAAGATCCTCCCTCAGCTCTTTAGCGATGCTAGACTCAAAGCATGCCAAGGACTCGAGATGCGGACTAATAACATCCTTTACTAACCCATCTGCACTGAATTCTAAATCCTAAAATTCCAAGACTACTTCTGAAGTAGGAGAAAGTGGAATAAAAGTTTTGGTTCGAGTATCGAAGCCTTACGAAAGGACTTGTAAAGTTTGGAATAATATTCCCCCATAAATTGCCCAAAACCAAGTATAACTTTCCTTTTCTCTCAATATACACAAATGATACTGGGGTTTTGGGGTTTTGGGGTTTTGGGGTTTTGGGGGTTTTGGGGTTTTGGGG